CCTGCTCTTCTGATGTTGCTTGGCCTGCTGTGTTCATCCAGTTCTACGCCTTGTTGTCTCTTACCTAAGACATATTCTGTTAATCTGAATTACAAGTAGCACAGCTGGTCTCATAGCATCCTGCAAAAGTTGAAAAGAGCATTGGGTGAAGTTTGTAGAGATCTTCCTTAACTTCTATCCCCACTCTTGGATTACTCCTCTAAGATTGGCTCATTGGAATCCGTTATTTATTTGTATTTGATACATGTGGGGAAACAATTAGTTTCAGCATTCTTAATTATATCAGCGAGCACTGCATGTGGTGCATAGAGGTGGTGTCCTGCAGCAATGGCTGTCACCAGGCTTTGACGTCTGTATAGTGCTACTAGAAGTGGAGTTACACGTTTGCGTTTCTCTCCGAGAATTATAAACCACAGGCTTGAATTACAGTCCAAAGTGAATGATTTCGGTGGATTTGGTTTTTGTGCCCTGGTTTTAACATCTCCATTTATCAATATATTGAAGTGTTACTGGTTCTATTATTATTTCATGATTCAGTTATCATTCTCTTCACCTGTGTTCAGGTGATTTTGCATCTTCATTCCACTATGGCCAATATGATGAAGCAACATTTAAAATACCTGATACAAAAATAGCAAATTTCTTTCTATGCACTTACTTCCGATCCTTACCCATCCCCACACCCCTGCCCCCAATCACACTTATTCCCACTTCAATGCATGTCCTCATCAACCTGGATGAGGACTCTCACTTCTGGTGGCTTAGAGTTCAGAGACACAAACTCACTGCTCGTTGGAAATCCTACATTCCAGCTGTTGGAACTCCTGATCCAATCAGAGTTGAATCATAGCAAACTAAAGCAGGGTGAGATAACACACAGTGGAGCTGGAGCAACACAGCATGCCAGGCAGCGTCAGAGGAGCAGGAAAGCTGACATTTAGGGTCAGGACCCTTCTTCAGAAAAAGGATCACAAAGAAGGGTCCTGACCCGAAATGTCAGCTTTCCTGCTCCTCTGATGCTGCCTGGCCTGCTATGTTCCTCCAGCTCCACATTGTGTTAGCTAAAATTAAAGAACAGGTTATCTGGCCTTTATCACATTACTGCTTGTGGAAGCTTGCTGTGTCTTTTCTGAAGTACAACAGGTGACTTCACTTCAAAAGTACTTCACAGACTGTAAATAAGTTCTGAACTGAGCTAAGAAATTGAAAGCTGCATCTTTCAAATGCGAATATTTCTAACTGTACAAATCAGGAAGCTCATCCGGAACCAAGACAGATCAAGTACCTTCACATTAGCATTTCACAGATGTATAATTATAATGGAATCTACTTTCTGTCTGCAAACATTGAGTTCCTCACTTCGCAAACTTACCTGTAGATTCATGAATTATTTGATTCTGATGCCTAAACACAAAAATAGATTAAAATAATTAAACTGTAGCATTATTATCTGTTGATATTGACAATCGACACACTGAGATGGCAATACGACATATATAATGATTCAAAATGGGTGACAGAAAATTCATAGAATCCCTATGGTGTGGAAACAGGCCCTTCAGCCCAACAAGTCCACACCGAACCTCAGAGCATCCCACCCTGACCCACCCTGCTATAACCCACCTAATCTACACATCCCTGAACACTATGGGCAATTTAGCATGGCCAATCCACCTAACCTGTACATCTCTAGACTGTGAGAGGAAACCGGAGCACCTGGAGGAAACCCACGCAGACACGGGGAAAACGTGCAAACTCCACACAGACAGTCGCCCGAGGGTGGAATCAAACCCGGGTCCCTGGTGCTGTGAGGCAGCAGTGCTAGCCACTGAGCCACCGTGCCACCCCTTAAGTGGTCATTTTATTAGTGGTCAGTTATACATCCTGTTATACACCCACACCCATTACCTGTCTTTCCATTACAGTCCTGCCTAAGTCATTCTGTCCCGCCAATTCCACTCTCTTTCACTTCACCTACACATGTAACATCCCCTCCGACTCCATCCTGGCCTGTCATACTCCTTCCCATTACACCTCTGTCAATTACAGTCCCTCCCATTATGCTCGTGCCTATTACACTCCATCTTATCATACTCCTCCCATTATACCCCATTCCATTACACACCTGCATTTTACACTCCCTTCCATTACAACCCACAGGTTACACTCCTCACATTACACTTATGCTTGTTATACCCTTTCCACCACGCCCTTCTCATTACAAACCCAACTAATACACCAGTTCCCACCATAATCCTGCTCATTACAGATGGTTAGTTTATGTCTTGTTGGAAAGGGTCATTGGCTGGCACTTATGTGGCACAAATGTTACTTGCTACTTATCAGTCCAGTCTGTTACACCCCCAAGATTATCCACCTGCCTGCTATACGTGCACCCACTGCACCCCTCTCATTATGAAACTGCCTTTTTTACACAATATACACTTGAAGAGGACTTTTTTTGGGTTATGGCAGTGATGAGTAGTGCTAATTTAAAAGATGCTTTGAAAGAATTGGTACAATCATGATGCGTTTCTTCTATACAATAACAGCTTATGATTGTATGATTATTTTGAAGAATGTGGGGGAGTTTTCCCCATGTCCTGGTCAATAATCATCCTTAAATGAACATCAATAAAAAACAGATTGTTTGTGCATAGTTGCAGTGCACAAACTGGCTAATGTATTGCCAGCATTACAACAGTGGCTACACTTCAAGAGCACTCCATTGGGTGAAAAGTGTTTTGGGAATGACCTGATTCTGTGGAAGGCGCTACATAGATGTAAGTGTTTTGATTTTCTTCGGTTGATCCTAGAGGGAGAATATCACGACTGGAAAACTCAAGACAGTTCGCTTTTACCAAACTGCCATTTTGGTGGATTTTATCAAGTTCTGGATTCCACAGCGTTTGCAGATAGTGAGTAGATTTGAGTCTCATGAACTCCAATATCTCTGATGCTACCTGGAAAAGCATCATGTGCCCTGGAGATAATCCCTTCATTCTCACTTTACCCACGATGTGGTTCCTGGACTGGACCAGCTCAGAGATTGGATGGGAAAATAACGAAACATCCTTAAAGAAAATTGATCATCTCAGTATTGACACACTGTTGCCCTCTCTTAAGACATTCAAGAAGGCACTGGATGTTTATTTGGACTGAAATATTATGCAAGCGTATGTGGCAAAGGCAAAGATTGCACAAGATAATGATGCTCATTTGAAGAGCCAGAGCAGTCGCAATGGCCTGAGTGGCCTCTTTCTGTGCCTTAACAATTCTGTGATTCTGTGCTAACTGTATAGTGAAAGCTGTATGAGTAAAGATAATATCGTATATGAGGACAGACAAAACCACCTGATGTTGCAGCGTCAGGAAACCAGGAAGTGTCACAACCGTGTTGTTTTCAGTTCTGCCAAAAACTGAGAAACATTTTCAGCATTTCTTTATATTTTTAGTTTAGTGAGAATCATCCCACATAAGGCAGCATGGTGGCTCAGTAGTTAGTACTTCTGCCTTACAGCGCCAGGGATACAGATTTGATCCTAACCTTAGGTGACAGTCTGTATGGAGCTTGCACATTCTCCCCATGTCTGCCTGGGCTTCCTCCGGGTGCTCGGCTTTCCTCCCACAGTCCACAGATGTGCAGGTTAGATGGATTGGCCATGCTAAATCACCAACAGTATTCAGGGGTGTGCAGGCTAGATAAATTAGCCATGGGACGTACAGGGTGATAGGGATAGTGTGGGATGTTCTTTGGAGGGTCGGTGTGGACTTGATGAACTGAATGGCCTACTTCTGCACTGTAAGGATTCTATGAATTACGAGCTGCTTCAGTTGCAGATGCTCTTTTGCAATTTGGAACATGTCTGAATGGGGCCAGGATAAGATGAGAGAGGGTTGGGGTGGGGGGAGTTGGGAGTGGGGGGGTGCGGTGGTGGGGGCATTGGGACCAGTGTTTATTGTTCAGTGACCCTGGCTAGAATTTCAGAATTTTGTGCTCTAACAAGAATTTTTTGTTGTGATTTCCATGGTCAAGTAGGTTTCTGCCACTGGTGTTTAGCAAGCACTCACGAAAATGACTGGATGACAACAAGAACTTGCATTTATATAACACCTTCAATGTAATAAGTATGCTCCTCTAAAGCACTCTAACACTCATCCTCACAAGGAAATATTAAGGCAGGCGACCAAAAAAATTGCACAGGGAGTTAAATTTTAAGGTATATCTCAACAGAGGAAAGTGAGTTAGAAAGGCAAAAAGATATGGGGAGGGTATTCCAGAACTTGGGATCTCTACAACTGAAAGCACAGTTGCCAATAGTGAGGTGATTAAATTCAAAGACTTGTAAAGGTGCAAATGTCTTGGAGGGTTACGGGCTTGCAGGGGAATACAGACATAGTGAAGGTCAGGCCATTGGGGTGATGTGGAAACAAGGATGAAGATTTTAAAATCAGGGCTTGCCAAATCATGTGCCCATGCAAGAAAATGAGCACGAGGCAATGTGTGAATGGTCCAGCCTTTTATAAGGAAATAGAGGATGCTCAGTTGATGTGTATTTCAGGTACTGTTAATGCTTCTAGGAAGGGAGTGAACAGCTTGAGAAAACTGCTGGAGTTCTCCCCGGCATCATGAAAATGAAGAAAAGGCTCGTATCCAGGTGATGAAAGAGTGAGACTCATTTTACCGAACATCAGTATAAAATGTCTGTTTTGCACTTGGTACACAGAATAATGGTGTCAAACACATCAATTCTCTTAGTTTGTGCAAATTGAAATTGAGGAAATCATTCCTCAAATCATTGATGAAATTGAAAACAACAAAGAAGTGAACAAACAACACTGTCAACATAAGCTCAGTTTGTAGCATTCTTGTATCTGAGTCTAAAGGTTTTGGTTTCAAGCCCAACTCCAGAGACTGGAACACATGTTTCAGATTGACTCTCCAGTGCAAAACTGAAGGAACGCTGTACTGTCAGAAGTACTGTTTATGAGATGAGACAAGAATGGAAAGCTCTCTCAGATGATGCTACTTTGGAGGTGAGTGATTGGAGAATACTCTTTAGTGTTTAAAACATGGCAGCACAGGTGGAATATGTGACCTGTAATATGTGGGAAGTCATGGACCCGACTGGCATCCTAAATGTTCACATGTGCAGGAAGTGCTTCCAGCTGCAGAAACTTGAGCTCCAGGTTTTGGAGAGATAGGTTGGGGCCAGATCATGGTTGGGGTGGGGGGAGGCCGTATGAAAACAAGAAAAATTATAAACTGTGAGGAGGATGGTGTAGAATTCTAAAAGAATATTGACAAGTTGTGGAGCTGGTGAATAGATAGCAGATGAGGTTCAATGCTGAGAAATGTGAGGTGATGCACTTTGGCAGAAGAACACTGAAAGGAAATATAAGATGGGGGTAAAATTCTCAAGGGGTTGCAGGAACAGAGGGACCTAGGTGTATATGTTCACAAATCATTAAAGGTGGCAGGAGAGGTGGAGAGAGAAGTAAATAAAGCATACAGTATCCTGAGCTTTATTAATAGCAACATAGAGTACAACAACAATAGATGTGATTCTGAACTTGTATAAGATGTTTCTTAGGCCTTATCTGGAATAATGTGTACAGTTGTGCATATTACATTGCAGGAAAGATGTTGAGGCATTGGACAGATTGCAGAAGCGATTTGGAAGAATGGTTTGAGGAGTGAGAAACTTCAGTTTTGACGACACATTGAAGAAGTTGGGACTGATCTCCTTAGAGAGATATAGACTAAGAAGAGATTTCATATAGGTTATCAAAATCATTAGGGGTCTAGATAGATTAAATAGTGAGAAATTTTGCCCACTTGCAAAAGGAACAAGAACAAGAAGGCAAAGATCTAAAGTGTTTGCAAAAGAAGCAAGGGTGATGTGAGGAAAACATTTTCACACAGCCAGTAATTAGGGTGTGAAATGTGCTGCCTGGAAGTATGGTGGAGGCAGGTTCAATTGAGGCATCCAAGAGGGCATTAGATGATTATGACATTAAAACTAATGTGCAAGGATCTGGGGACAAAGCAAAAGATTGGCACTAGGTAATGATACTCATTTATTAAGTTGGTGCAGGCACAATGTGCTAAATGGCCTTTTTCCATGGTATAGACACCACACAACCAAAAGGATGTGGATGCTTTGGAGACAGTACAGAAAAGGTCTACCAGGATGTTGCCTGGCATAGGGGATTTTAGCTATGAAGAAAAGTTGGATAGACTGGATTTGTTTTCACTGGAACATGGGAGGTTGAGGGGTGACCAGATAGAAGTTGATAATATTGTTAATGGCATGGATAGAGTGGAAAGAACGAGGGTTTTTCCAGGATGGAGAAGTCAATTACTGGGGAACACAGGTTCAAGGTGTAGTGGGGGTGGGGGGCAGTTTAAAAGGATGTGTGAGGCACGTTTTTCACAATAAAAGTTGGTGAGTACATGGAATGTGCTACCAGAGGAGGTGGTGGAAGCAGAAACAATAGCAGCATGCGAGCAGCACCTGGATGTATACATGAATAGGAAGGGAATAGAGGGATATGGATCCTGTAAATGAAGACAGTTTTAGTATGGAAGGGCAAAATGTGTCAGTGCAGGCTTGGGGGCCGAAGGGCCTGTTCCTGTGCTGTGTTTAAGGTTTTTGCAAAGATTTGTAGCTTGAGTTGTGGGTGAGGTTGTTGACTTGCTCGCCAAGCTGGCTTGCTTTTGTCCAGACGTTTCATCATCACGCAAGGTAACAGCATCAGTGAGGCCGCCGATGAAGACATGTTGTTCTACTCCACTTGGAAATTATACTGTCCAGTCTGTTATGGTGAGTTGTGTCATTTCCAGTTCTGTTCTGTATGTGCTTGTATATGGGGTCCAATTCTATATGTTTGTTGATTGCAATATAAGTTAAGAATGATGCCTCTGGGAATTCCCATGTGTGTCTATGTTTGGCTTGGGCTACTGTGGTTATCTTGTCCCGGTTAAACTGATGGCCTTCATTGTCCGAGTGTACTGATATTAGGGAAAGTTCATCGTGTTGTTTTGCTGCTAGCCGATGTTCGTGTATTCTGACAGCTAGTTTCCTTCCTGTCTGTCCAATGTAATGTTTGTGGCAGTCCTTGCATGGTATTTTGTAAACTACATTGGTTCTGCATGTCGTGGGTATGGGGTCTTTAATCCTTGTGAGTGTTGTTCTTGGCGTGTCTGTTGGTTTGCTTGCTGACAAGATTCCTAGTGGTTGTAGGAGTCTCAGTGTCAATTCTGATATGTTCTTGATGAAGGACGGTGTGGCCAGTGAGTTGGGGCATAGTGTGTCCTCTTAGTGTTGTCTATTTAGTAGGCACCTGCGGATGAAGTTGAGGGGATATCTGTTCATAGCGAAGATTTTGTATTGAGATTCTTGCATTGTTCTGGCGTGTTGCAGTGAGTGGTGGCCCATTTAAATAGTGTCCTAACAAAGCTTTGTTTATGGGCATTGTGGTGGTTGCTGTGGAAGTTGAAGATTTGGTCAGCGTGTGTTGCTTTCCTGTATACTGAGGTTTTGAACTCCCTGTTGGTCATACATTCTAGCCTGACGTCCAGAAATGGAACTGATTGTTGTTTTCTTCTTCTCTCATGAATTTGATCCCAGCGAACACATTGTTGATGAGGTGGTGGGTCTCTTCTAGTTTGGTGCGTTTTATGATGACAAATGTGCCGTCCATGTACTGGATCCACAGTTTAGGTTGAATGAGGGGGAGAGTGGTGTGTTCCAGTCTTTGCGTGACTGCCTCTGCAATGAGTCCTGAGATGGATGATCCCATGGGTGTGCCATTGATCTGTTTGTGTACTTGACCATTAAAGATGAAGTGTATGGGTGAGGCATAAGTCTAGTAACTTGAGTATGTTGTCATTGCTGATCGAGCTACTGGTCTGCATTCCTGCTTCCTCTAGTAATGTGGCCAGTGTTTCTTTGTCTAGTGGGATGTCAATTGACGTGAATAATGCTGTGACGTCAAAGGATACCATAATCTCATCGTTGTTGATATTTATGTTCTTGAGAGTATTGAGGAATTCTTGGGTTGAGTGGACAGAATGGAGTGAACTGTCAACTAGGTGTTTCAGTGTCTGCTTTAGGTCCTTGGCCAGTTTGTGTGAAGGTGTGCCCGGTAGGGAGATAATGAAGGCCATCAGTTTAACTGGGACAATGTAACCATCATAGCCCAAGCCAAACATAGACACACACAGGAATTACGAGAGGCATGATTCTCAACCCATAATGCAATCAACAAACATATAGAATTGGACCCCATATACAAACCCATACAGACCAGAACCAGAAATGACACAACTTACCATAACAAACCGGACAGTATAAATTCCAAGTGGTGTAGAACAACATTGCTTCATTGGAGGTGATGATGTTTCCTAGCATGGTGGTGAAATGTCTGAGTGAAAACAAGCCAGCTCGGCGAGCAAGTCAACAACCTCACCTGTGCTATACTGTTCTTTCATCATGTTTTAAGACTTCTGTGATTCTGTGGTATGTTTGATAATAATTATCTCTCAGGTAAAATCACCAAAAATGATAATTTGCTTACTTATTTCAATGGTATTCCAGGGATTTTGCTCCGTCAAAATGACTCATCATATTTCTGCATTACAACAGTGACAAATTTTCAATGCTACTTCATTGATTGTGAAATACTGTGAGCTGCCCTGTGAACATGGAATTGAAAGGATTTTCTTGAGTTCACATGAGAAATGTTGGCGTGTGAATGACAGATGGGAACCATCATAGTGTGGGGTGGTGAGACAGGGTGTCCTATTGGGTACAGGGTATCACCCCAACATTCCTACCCGGCAGCAGACTTGAACTATCAAAGCTGCAGGGCTGTTTGCCTTCCCCCACAGACTGACACATTATTGCAAAGGCTTCAACAGGTCAAAGGGCAGCCAGGTTGTCTGGTGCCTAAACAGCAACGCCCTCCACTCACTTGCCTCCCGTTATTATTGGGGACAGCTCAGGCATGGGTGGAAAGGCTGTGTGTTGGCCACCTGCTTTATTTTATACATCACCCTGCCCCTAAAATATGTTGGCGGAAGGGAAGACTAAAACTTCTGCACTTCCTCCTCAGAACAATTTGGGATGGTCTCTTTAAGCAGTGGTGAATTCAAAAGATTAACTTGTGTGGGAACAATGTGACAGTCTTAAATATAGCAATGAGTCTAATTTGTACATTTAAGTTGATTCCCACATGCCTTGGGAGAGGAGCATTGCTCACCTTTTACCCAGTCTTCTTCAAACATGCAGGCTGAGCATCATGGGGAATGGGGCACAGAGACCACATTCAGTATCACCATCTATAAGACTTTCTTCAGCCAAAGCTTTTTTGTGATCATTAATGTCAGGCAATGGGATTGCAAGTAATGGAGGGTGCACAGCAACATCAGGTTAAAATACTCAAAACATTGCTCAATAGAAAATTTCAGGTCAAGAAGATGCAACTATCACAGATCTCACGTTATGGGCAGCACTGCTGCCTCAAAGCACCAGGGACCCAGGTTCGATTCCACCCTCAGGCGACTGTCTGTGTGGAGTTTGCACATTCTCCCCGTGTCTGCGTGGGTTTTCTCCGGGTGCTCCAGTTTCCTCCCACAGTCCAAAGCTGTGCAGGCTAGGTGGATTGGCCGTGCTAAATTGCCTGTAGTGTTCAGGGATGTAGAGATTAGGTGGGTTATAGGGGGATGGGTCGGTGTGGACTTGTTAGGCCAAAGAGCCTGTTTCCACACTGTAGGGATTCTATGATTCCAATTGTGTAACTGGAGGTGTAATTTGTATCATCTGAGATTGAGGGCTGTAAAATCAACCTATCGGTTGCTCTATCTCCTTACACCCTTGATACTTTGAGGCATGACATCTGTGTAAGGGGGCAGCACGGTGGCTCAGTGGTTAGTACTGCTGCCTCACTGTGCCAGGGACCTGGGTTCAACTCCACCCTCGGGCAACTGTCTGTGTGGAATTTACACATTCTGTCCGTGTCTGTGTGCGTTGCCTCTGGGTGCTCTGGTTTCCTTCCTCAGTCCGAAGTTGTGCAGATTAGTGGATTGGCCATGCTAAATTGCCCATAGTGTCCAGGGAAGTGTCGGTTGGGTGGATTGGCCAGGGGAAATGCAGGGTTAGAGAGTTAGGGTAGGGGGGTGGGTCTGGGTGGGCTAGATTTTGGAGGGGCTTAATGGCGTGCTTCCACACTGTAGGGATTCTATCTGTAATATGACAGATTCAAAAGGTGAGCAGACAGGAATGGATAGAGGTGTACAGTCCAAGATTCACGTCAGGACGAGAATGTGTCATCAACTGATCTTGATTTGTGTATTACACCTGAAAGATGCATTTATTTCCCTCCCTCTTCCTTCTGTTATTTGTTTTCCAGCATTCTTCAGTTCCATAACTCTTGCATTTTGTTTTCATCACATGTGAGTTTCACTCTTTTACCTCTTTGGGAAGAAGCTCCTTGACCCCTCTCTTTTGTTAATCTCATGACACAGCTGATGAATCTGTCTGTAAATCAGAAAATAAAAAATTTATCTGGAGAACACATCAAGTGGATCACAAGCATCATTGGTAAAGCTTTAGAGAAAGTAAATGAGAGTCTCCAAATTGATAATACAAATTGTTACATCATATCAGAGTATATTTTACGGTGAAGCTTTTCTGACTTTTGGCATTGACTGCCACAATCACTGGTATTGCTATCATGATTGTAATGTTCAAGTTTTCTGTATTTGATTACGTGAGGCTATTTACTATTGATTCTCATTGTGCTTGATTGGTTAAGTCTGGGTGTAGATACATGGAAAAGAAATCAAACCTGTGGAAAGGCATGAAAGCCTGGGCTGTAAGAATGTGTGTAGACATGAGTGCAGAGATACTTTGAGCACCGTGAATAAAATCTGTTTACAAATGAACATCAGATTAGGTACAGAATGAGATTTTTGCAAAAAGACCTTCATCTACTCTGCTCCTACAAAGACTCACGGGTCAATTTTGGCACAGTTAGACAGTTAGATGTTGCTTTTGCATTGTTGGATTAACCACTCTCAGGTTAGACTGAATCCCATGGGATTGAGCCATCTGTCTGAGCTGTATAACCCATAATGTCCTCTCAAATACAACACAGGCGAGGTTAGCTGTCAGATCTATTTTATAATAACGTGCCTTATCTCCATCTTTTAGAAAAAAGCATTCTCTACTGGAAGGGTCACCGGACCCAAAACATTAACTCTGATTTTTCTTCACAAATGCTGCCATACCTGCTAAGCCTTTCCAGCAACTTCTGTTTATATTTTCTACTGGATGACTATGATATTTCCCTTCTTCTAGTTGCCACTGAATGGTCTCTCTCTGAGACTATCTATTTATTGGCCAGTTTTGTCCATTTCTGTGCTGACAGCCCACTGTGAGAATAGAAAAGACAGCTGGGTTTGGATGTCAAAGGTGAAAGGAGAATGAGCTACTACAGCCCCTTAGGACAATGAAGTATCATAGCCCCTGACTGAAGAGGTTTCAAACATTTCTTAAATAATCTAATCAGCATTCCAGTGGTATCATCAGGTTTTTATTGTGTTCCTATAAAACATGCATCTTTAAGGCAACCTGTTCAAACGTTACCTAAATTTGTTTGGAAGATTAATTTGAGTTGAACAGACATGATGAATGTGGCAAGTTAACAATAAAATGTTCGGAGCAGTTGAAGGTCAGGGCTGCAGCATCAGAAGCTGCAAACATGATGTTTAGCTTTATCCTGAATACATTCTGAAACTTTTCTTCTAATGTCTCTTTTCTCTCTCCTGGGGGACCAATTCTTTTTCGGAAATGTAGTTCTGCAGGCACACATTGCTCTCTAGTTCCTTGCTCAAAAAGTCACTCTTTGATCGGGCCTTCCACCACTTGCAAGCTAAGTTATTCTAAATAGTTGCTGAATCATTTCATACACAATTTTTAATATTGTAGTCATGTTAGGGCCTGAGTTTGTTTGTGTTAATATCAGAACTCAGACTGGCAGTCTGACATCACCTCAGCAGCTGAAGCACGAAATCTAGGTTGGGACTTGGCAATCCACCACAATCATGATGGAGTGCTACACCAACCAACCTGGCACTCCAGTGCAGTACTGAAGGAGTAGTGCAGTATCCAGACTGACACTCCAGTGCAGGCAAAGAACATAGAACATATGTCAGTACAGCACAGGAACAGACCCTTCAGCCCATGATGTTGTGCCGAACATGATGCCAAATCAAACTAATCCCTCTGCATGCCCACAGTCGATATCTCTCTATTGCTTGCTTATTCGTGTGCCTATCTAAAAGACCATTAAATGCCCCAATAGTATCTGCCTCCACCACGACCCCTGACAGCGTGTTTCAGGCACCTACCACTGTCAGGGTAAAAAACTTGCCCCTCACATCTCCTTTGAACTTTCCCCCTCTTAACTTAAATGCGTGCCCTCTAGTATTAGACATTTCAACTCTGGGAAAAAGATTCTGAACTTCTATCAGGCCTCCCTTCAGCCTTTGCTTCTCTAGAGAAAACAACCGTAGTTTGTCCAGCCTCTCCTTTTAGCTCATACCCTTTAATCCAGGTAGCACCTTCTCCAAAGCCTCCACATTCTTCCTGTAATATGGCAACCAGAATTGAGTGCAATACTCTAACTGTGGCCTAACCAAAGTTTTACAAAGCTGCAACATTACTTCCTGACTCTTGTACTCAATGCCCCGACTGATAAAGGCAAGCGTTCCATATGCCTTCTTTACCACCTTGCATAAATGTGTGGCTATTTTCAGGGAACTATGGACTAGGCCCTTAAGATCCCTCTGTACATCAATGCTATTAAGGGTCCTGCAATTAACTATATACTTTCCCTTAACATTTGATCTCCCAAAGTGCCACACATCATGCCTTTAGATCTCCCAAAGTGCAAACATCACACTTGCCCAGATTAAACTCCATCTGCCATTTCTCTACCCTTATCTGCAACTGATCTATATTCTGTGGTATCCTTTGACAACCTTCAATGCTGTCCGTAATTCCCCTGATCTTTGTGTCATCTGCAAACTTAGTAACCTGCTCATCTATGTTTTAATCTAAGTCATTTACATAAATCACAAACAATAGAGGTCCCAGTATGGATCTCTTAAGAATGCCACTAGTCATGGACACCCAGCCTGAAAAACACCCTTCCACCACTACCCTCTGTCTTCCATGGGGAAGCCAATTCTGATCCAAACGGCCAAGTCACCATAGATCCCATGCATCTTAATCTTCTTGATGAGCCTAGCATGAGGGACCTTGTTGAAAGCCTTACTAAAATCCATGGAAACAACATCTACTGCTCTACCCTCATCGATCACCCTTGTCCCCTCAACAAAAAATCAAATTAGTAAGACATTACCAGCCCTGCACAAAGCCATGCTGACTGTCCCGAATTAGGCCATGTTTTTCCAAATGTGTGCAAATCCTATTTCCATGAACCCTCTCCAATAGGTTCCCACCCACTGATGTCAGGCTTACCAGTCTATAATTTCCCCCTGTCCTGAAGGAGTGCTACACTGTCTGAGATGTTTACTTTTGATGGAGATGTCTATCCAGTCCCCAGTACATTGCAAAATAAGTAAATCAGTTGGAGGAACAGGAGAAGGAAGAGGACATTCAGCCATGTTCTATAATTCAGATCATGTTTTATCTTAACCCTATCAACCCACCTTGGTTCTGTAATCCTCAATATCCATCACCTAACAAATTTTATCAAGCACAATTTTAAAATTTTCAATTGATCACCAGCCCCAGTAACTTTTTGGGGCAGAGTTCCAGTTGTCCACTATCTTTTGAATGAAGAATCCACCCTCGGGTGAATGTCTGTGTGGAGTTTGCACATTCTCCCCGTGTCTGTGTGGGTTTCCTCCGGGTGCTCCAGTTTCCTCCCACAGTCCAAAGATGTGCTGGTTAGGTGAATAGGCCATGCTAAATTTCCTATTGTGTCCAGGGATGTGTAGGTTAGGTGGATTAGCCATGGGAAATGCAGGGTTACAGGAATAGGGTAGGGGAAGCGAGTCTGGGTGGGATGCTCTTTGGAGCGTCGGTGTGGAATTGTTAGGCTGAACGGCTCAATAGGGATATTATACTACTATGGAAGAAGTGCTTCCTGACATCAACCGCCAAATAATCTTGATCTAATTTTAATGATCACCCCAATTTTTCTAGACTCTCAAAGCAGAGGAAATAGTTTCTCTTTGTCAACTTTATTCTGCCTAGTTTGTTCTCCACTGAGTAACTTTGGATGCTTGATTGAGGTAAATGGTGGTGATGTACCATGATTACAATGTTAGTCTGCAAATAGGAACTGTGTGATAGTATCATTTACTGGTAAATGGCAGCTCCAGCACATTAGACAACACCACCCACTGATTCAATGAACATAAAAACAGTTGAGGTGTCAACTGAGCTGGTGATTTTTCAACTCCCATTTTACATGAGCAGTTTCACACTTGTATCTTCCTGCTTCATGATGCAACATCACGAGTGATTTTGGTGAAACGTCTAGTTACTTTCTAAATAAAATTTCATAATATTAGGAGACAGTCAGCATTATTTGCTTTCTGTTAATGTTAATATTCAACCGGGATGCTTATAAGAGATCACTTCCATGCTAGAAGAGCAAAATTCATATTTTCCTGTCCAGTGATGTGCCAGCTTTGTGTTAGTACCAGAACTCAGATTGGTAGTCAAATATCACCTCAGCAACTGAAGTACAAAATCTAGATTTGGACTTGGCACTCCACCACAACAATGAAGGAGTGCTGTACTATCCTACCTGGCACCCCAGTGCAGTACTGAAGGGGTGCTGCATTATCCAGACTGACCGTGCAGTCTGGAGGAGTGCTGCTCTGTCTGAGATGGAGACATCTGTCCAGACCTCTCTCTGTGGTTACAAAAAAGATGCCATGACTGATATTTATGCCATACTAAGCATTACTAAAACAGATCATTTCATCATCGTAATACAACTGTTTATGGGAGTTTGCTGTGCATGAATTGGAACATTCTGAGATTATGAAAAGCACTATGTCATGGCATATTTGACCATGACAGCAAATATCCTGACAGGAGTAGCTATAAACAGACAGGACATATCCAGGAAAAGTTTTCTTTCTTTCATTTTTTAAGGATAAACAAGAATTCTGTGATAAGCTCTTTTCAAAATTACTTCAGGATAAGAAGGAAACAATTTAAATGAATTAACCCAGTCAATAAGTTAAATAAACATTTTTGTCTTTACTGACCATCTCTGGATGGCTATCTTGGCAAAACAGCAAACAATCTTGGAGGTTTTGTTCTCTATGTTTCACCAACTGTTGTGGGCTGCTTCAATTTTTGTAGAGCTCTTTTTTTGCTCCTTTGTAAAATGCTGCCTAATAATGAGACAAGTAGAGAAAGAGGAATCTGGGACAGCACTTCCATGGATCCCTGAAGGAACCAGAAAAGATAGAATAGGAGCCGAACGA